GTTCCTTAAGATTGATTTTTCCCAGGAGTGCAAAAGGTTAAATGTGGGGGAATTTGATAAATCATAATTTTCGTGCATTTTCATACCTTTGTAATCTCCTATAAAATATTGTTAGTGCCTAATTGTTTTCTCTTGCCATATTTTATTGTTTTGAGGTTTATTGGGCTATTAATCTGAAACTTCATTTAATTGGATTTATTAGCCTAATTAATTTCATAATCATTTTGTAGAGGACTTGGAAGCATTTATTGGACTAGGAGCACTGCCACATGGACCTGCCACGTCGACCAACTTCAGCATAGTTTTTATTTTATTTTTTTATTTCATATTTTGGTATGTAATGGGCCAACTGGGTCAGTCTAACAGTTGGACCCGAATTCAAAATTTCATAGGGAACCTAGGTCAATTATTTTAGGTCAGCCTAGGGGGACAAAGAAGGGGGGAGCCGCCATCCTCAATTTTTGCCATGCTTTAGCAGTGGGTGGCCATCTTGGCTCCCAAAGAACAGCAAGGAAGGTGCTTGACTCTGGATTTTACTGGCCCACCATCTCCAAGAATGAGTGGAGGATTTGTAGCACATGTGAGCAGTGCCAAAGAGCAGGAGGTTCCATTACATGGAGACAATAGATGCCTCAGCAACCTATGTTGTTTTGTGAGGTTTTTGATGTCTGGGGTATTGATTTCATGGGCCTTTTTCCTGCTTCTTTTGGTTTCTCTTATATATTGCTTGTTGTTGATTATGTTTCCAACTGGGTGGAGGCTAAGGCCACTAGGACTAATGATGCTCGGGTTATTGTAGATTTTGTTAGATCTCACATTTTTTGCAGGTTTGGCATACCCAGAGCTATTATTAGTGACCAGGGTACCCATGTTTGCAATAGATCCATGCAAGCTATGCTCCGAAAGTATGGGGTCGTCCATAAAGTTTCTACTCCTTATCACCCCCAGACTAACGGGAAAGCTGAGGTTTCAGATAGAAAGATTAAGAGGATCTTGGAGAAGATGGTGCAACCTAACAGGAAGGATTGGAGCCGTAGACTTGAGGATGCACTTTGGGCGCATAGAACAGCCTACAAGGCACATATAGGGATGTCTCCCTATCGGGTTGTTTTTGGCAAGGCATGTCACCCACCAGTTGAGATAGAGCATCGTGCATATTGGGCAGTGAAGACTTGTAACTTAGCTCTTGAGCAAGGATGATACGAACTCTGGGTAGTTGATGATTCAGGGACGAGCGTACTCTTGGATGATCAGGGATGATACGAACCCTGGGTAGGTGATGCTTCAGGGACGAGCGTACTCGTGGATGATCAGGGATGATACGAACCCTGGGTAGGTGATGCTTCAGGGACGAGCGTACTTCTTAATTAAATTATATTATATATGTGTTGGGGTAGTAAGGGTGTCACAATCTATACAATGAAAATTCCATAGTACTCTGTTTATTTAGCAAGTTAAATCTATATTACATATTATTGTGAGAATTTTTTTAGGTTACAAACTATTTCAATATCAAGAAGCCTTGGACTGTACATGCAAGATTGTAACTGACATGATCAAAGGAAATTCTCTAGGGGAAATTTGGAAGACTAAGATTTAATTGATTTTCAAAAAATATAAATGAAAGATCTATCGTGTGGACTTTTATTAATGTTATACTTGTTTTACATTTCAAACTATTTTAAATTTAATTCATAATTAATAACAATGATTTAATAGCTCAATTTAAAAATGTTGATTTTAATTTTTTTTTAATGTAGTTCAATTTAGTTTATAGTTAATAATAATTTTAGTTGATACTATAATTTAGTTCAAACTCTAGAACTATAGTGCACTAAACTAGATAATAGTTTAGTTCAGTTTAGTCAATCTTTATTTTAGTTCAATTCAATTTGGTTAACTATTAATTATAGTTCAATTTAGTTTTCTTCTAATTTAGTTCAATTTAACAATTTGAACAATCCTAAAATATTCAATGAATAGTAACAACAAACAATATAATGAAAAAGAATATGACATATAATATACCTTGATAATTCTTTTAAATAAAAAAAGTTTTAATTATTTAATTGGACAATCCACGGTGCTTCGGTTGGTGCACCGATGGGTAGCAAAAAAATTTCATGTCATCTATATGTGGCAAATTGATTTAACTTCAACCTTAAAGCATTTTTTTATAATTAGTGCATGAACCATATGACTAAAATCTTAACCGCAACTTTTATACTTAATTTCATGCCACCGTTTTATACACACCAGCAGATTTTATTAAAATTTTTTTGACAAAAATGATAAATGTTTAAAAACTTTTCGGAAACATTATTAGAAAATGGTTATTCTTCTGTGAATTTTTTTTTAAAAAATATATTTTTTTACAAATTTTCTCATAATAATAATTTCACAAATCTTTTTTACAAATTTATTTGAAAAATAATTTACAAAAATTTCTTACAAATTGTTTTATAAAAAATAATCTACAAGAAAATTATAAAAATTTTGCTACAATTTTAATCATCATAGAAATTTTTTTCATGGTAAAAACTTGCAAAAAATATTGTAAGAATTTTATTTTGTTTCTTGTACATTTTCTTGTAAAACTAAATTTGTAAGTAAATGATAGAAAAATTTTGCAGGTAACTTTTCTTACGAATTTTTCCGCCAATTTTAATCAACACGAAAATAAAAAAAATATTTAAATTTATAAGTTTAATAATTAAAATATTTTTTATTAAAAACTTATTTTACTAAATTATTCATAAATATATCATTATAATTTATTTTATTTTTATTTTAATTAAATTAAATATATAAAATTTTATAAATATGATAAATAAATGATAATGAGTTTTAATTTAATGATAATTTATAAAATTTTTAAATTAAAAGTATTTACTTAATAAAATATTATTTTACTAAATTATTTATAAATATTTCATAAAAATTAATTTTAATTATAATATTAATAAATTAAATATTTAATTTAATTAAATGTATAAATTAATGATGATGAGTTTTAATTTAATGATACTTTTTTAAAAAAATATTTAATAAAAAAACTATTTTTTTTAGAATATTGAATATTTTAAGAGTTAAAGTAATTTAGAATAATATAATTTTGTAGTTCAATATAATTGAATTAATTTTCTTTCTAAAGGCATCATCTAATTAATATTTAATGAAAACCTTAAGGCACACATCGATTAGAAATAAAATAATTAAAAATTTATATAAGTTGGAGCAATACTCACCTTAAAAGTTGATTTTGTATGATTGAGTGTTAGACCTATAATTTAATTTCTAAGACTTTAAAAGGTTATGCCTCACATGTGACCATTTGAAATTCGGAGAATTATTAAAGAGTTTGCATAAAAATTACCTCAGAATTTTAAATTCATGATAAACTTTCTATAGTAATTTCTTTGATTTTTTCGTAAGAAATTTTCTTGAAAAATTTATTCCAAAAAAATTCACAAAAAATTTCGAAGGAAACTTTTCTACGGATATTTTTCACAAGAAATTTCACAGGAAAATTTATTGCAAATTTTAAAGTTCGCAAAAACATATTATTCATGAAGGTATTACATAGAGATAAAATTTTACAAAAAAATTCGTAAAGACAAAGTTTTTCTCAAAATTTTATACAAAATTTGTATGAAAAATTGAATGTAATAAAAAAAATCTAGTAGTGAAAGGACACAGTCCATCATAACAACTCACAAAATAAACATCACAAATTCTTAATTGTCAATTGTCTAACGTTCATATTTGACCCCAGCCATAATGTATATCATTTAGTCCAGGTTAATTTACACCGTCAACAAGTTTAGTTAGTGTATGAGATCAAATTGAGGGAAACATTCACACAAGTTATTATTGGGTAATTTAAAATGGGGTTGGGGATGGTGGGTATAGATATATGGTAGGTAGAAAGCATATAAACAAGGAAAAGTTATTTTTCTTCACTATAAGAAATATTACATATAGTGACATACAAAAAGTGTCATCATAACTATAATATATGTAGGCATATATTTACTTGACATATAACTACACAAAATTTTAGTGTTGTTTTTGAATTAAGATTTAACAACATATTTTATGTGTTACTATAGTCTATACCCACACTTTTTAATAATATATAAACATATAATGTACTTATTATATGAATAAAAGTAGTTTTTACTGACACATATTGTATTACTATAGAATGTGTATCACTATATGACAATTTTCTTACAGTGCTAATAAGTCATGACATGTGTTGATGATATGTTAGTCTGTACACCTTATGCCTTTTATTTTTTATTTTTAAGAATAGTATAGGACCCGTAGGTTTTAAACCCATTGGGTCCTTCCTTCCCCTTCCTCTCACATTTGCATGTTCTTTTTTTGGCCAAAACATGCAGGTTGGTATATTTCTAAGTATTAGATATAAGCATCATTTTGTAGTTTGCATGTGGTGATTGTTATCTAGCTTTCCAAGTGTGCTTTGGCATATTTCTAAGTTTTTTCATGCATTAATTAGTTTCACCACATATCAAAGGTGAATTTTTGTCTACTTCTAACTTACATAATGCTTTATAATGAAGATTTAATTTCATTTATATACATTTTACTAAATTTATTTTAGATACTTCATTATCAAGGATTGGATCATGTTATGGACACATTGGTGGACATAACAAGTATATCATTACCTCTGCACTTTATAATGTAATTTCATTTTGTCCTTTATTAATAACTTGGACATCTACTATTTCAGTGTGTTAATGTAGGAGTACTAACTTAGTACTCTATCTCTTTAGATTTTTTATTTTCATTAGTTTGTTATTATCGGATATTTATTTAGTTTATCAATTTGTATTTAGCATCTATATAAGTGCAGCCTCTATGCACTCTGATTTTGATCAAAATAATAACAACTTCCCTTGTTACTCTATCATTTTTCTATATGGTATCAGATTAAAGCCTATTACTTAACAAGCTTTTCTTTTGATCCAATGGCCTCTCACTCGTCCACATTTGTTGCCATTCCTTCTCCCACCCTTTATGATCCAAAGGATCTTGTGGAATTTAACACCATCACCCAACTCCCTATCAAACTAAACTCCTCCAATTATCCCCCGTGGTATCGACAGATTCATTCTTTGCTTGTAGCCTGTGACCTTGAAGGCTACATCACGAGTGACACACCTTGTCCCCCCAAAACCATTACCACTGCCTCTAGTGTGTCTTCCAACCCACCTTATAATTTTTGGATTCGTCAAGACAAATACCTCTACATCACCTTACTTGGTTCATGTGATAGTAAGGCCCACGCCGTCATGTCCATGGTAGAAACATCACGAGCTGCTTCATTGTCCTTGGAACGTGCCTTTGTTGCTTGCTCTTGCTCATATGTCATGTCCCTTAAAGAGCGTTTGAATTCTAGCACCAAGGGCTCTTCCACTATTGCTACATATTTGGAATCAATTTGCTCAACTGCTGAGGAGTTATCCTTGATAGGCCACGTTATTGTTGACATCGATCTAGTCATTCATGCTCTTAATGGTCTTGATCCTTCTTTTCGCGAGTTCACAGCCTCCATATGCACTCGTGACACACCAATCTCATTTGATGAGTTGTTTGTCAAGCTATTGGATTATGAAATGTATCTTAAACGTGATGAAAATTTCAACCACCAAACTTCCATCATTGCCAACTATGCTAATCGGGGATGCTCCCACCGTTCCAACAAGGGGCGCAACCATAATAATCACTCCACTTGTTCATCTGTTTCCTTCAAACATAACAACTCTTCCTCCACCTCCAACATTGTTTTCCAACTCTACTCTAAGAAGGGACACAATGCTCAAACTTGCTACAAATTCACTAAGAACAATCAACGATCTTCCAACCTTGCTACTCATGCAACCCAGGCCACTATTCCACTGCTTGAGTGGTTGTTTGACTCTAGTGCTTAACATCACATCACCAATGACCTCAATAATCTCTCCTTGACGTCTACCTATACTGGTAATGATAAAATTTATGTGGCAAATGGTATGTCCCTTCCCATCACAGATGTTGGTTCTTCTACCCTTCACCCACCTACATGTCCTTTATCACTAACCAATGTCTTGTATGCTTTTGGAGTCACCCAAAATCTTCTATTTGTGTCTCAATTATGCACAAGGAAAATTCTACTTTGAGGTTCTAATGATGACCATGTTTACAAACTCCACCCACCTCAAACACTCATCGTGCCTACTTAACCACCTCCACCTCATATTCTCAACATTGGCATAATCAACTTGGCCATCTATCCTCTCGTGTCTTGCATCATGTTCTTCAGTCAAATATAATTCCTTTTCATGGCTTACTCAATAAATGTACTCATTACATGGAAAATAAGAGTCATAAGTTACCTGGATGCATCATCAATAGTGTTGACATTTTTTGTTCAACCTACATGGTCACAAAAGTCGTCAACCATGTTGACATTTTCTTCTACTATTTTCTTTTCCTTGGTCACATGCAACAAAACATATTTGCATATTTTGAATTCATCACGGACCTTGAAGTTTTCCTTATCCCTTTAGTAATTAGTTTTTTACTTAATTTATTTTAGAAATTTTATTTTATTTTATAATTATTCTGGATTTTCAGCAAGATGATTCATATAAATACCTTGCAAAATCTGGAAAATGATAGGGCGGACACTTCACACTTCTAGTTTGGTGCTACCCTTTTATTACTTTCTTTAATTGTGTACTATATAGAATTCATGATTTGTTTATTGTGGTTTGGACATTTCTAGACATCAATATAATCATAATTATATGGGCAGACTACGAAGCAAATTCTTTCATCTCTATATTTTTCATATGAGCATAGATACATTGTATAGAAAAAAGGAAGATAATGAAAAGGGAAAGAATAAACAGGATATTCCCATAATCAAGTAGGAGTACCAAAATTACAGGAATGAAATAAAAATAAAATAGTTGATTGTAATATTTTTGATTAATAAGATGCAATTCTCCTAAAAGATAGTGTTCCTACTTAGAAACACTCCTCTTGTTGCTCCTTCCTTGTGATCTTCCAAGTCTTCGGTGCTGACCGAACATTGTCTCCAAAGGGTGGGGAGGGTACCTGCAAAGGCACTCCGACGATCAAGTAAGTGTTCGGTATAGAGCAATAAAGGCTTTTATGTTGGATGAAAATGTACCTCATTTATGTCCCATCACCTGTGTATTTATAGTGACTGTGAACTCTCTTGTTATGTCAAGTTGGTTTTGATGAGTAAGAGGTTGGATTGATTGTGACACCTACCCTTGGTGAGATTGTGAGCCTTGATTTGGATAGATAATTGTTCTCTCTTCGTACTGAACCTCTAAGAGGGTGTATTGAGCTCCAATCCTCACACACCCTTATTCTAAGCTACTCTAAGACTTCTAGACCTACAAAGAATCATCCTAGGGTCTTCCAGGAGTCCTTCCGGCTGACTTTCCTTCGGTCTTCGAGAGTCTTTGAGTCTTATTTCCGACCCGGACAATTTTAGGGGTCTACAAGAGAGAACCTTTTTCATTCTAGATGTAAAATAAATGGTTTTCTTTTTCATTGAATTGTTGGATTTGTATGAGTTGTTGGACACTTTCTTGCTACTTTGTGGATTGAATATTTGTGAACTCTCTTGTTATGTCAAGTTGGTTTTGATGAGTAAGAGGTTGGATTGATTGTGACACCTACCCTTGGTGAGATTGTGAGCCTTAATTTGGATAGATAATTGTTCTCTTATGTGTGATTTCACTCATGATGCTTGCACTTTAGAACTTGGCTTGACCCTTTTTGACATAACTTGATCCACACGCATGTATTGAAGTGATTTAGGCAATTGATTTCTTTTAGCCACTAGCCAAGTGAGCCTACCTTGAATTCATCCCATTTGATAACCCCTTTAACCTATGTATCCTTTTTCATTGTTTTATAGCTCATTACAAGCCCTTAGCCTGAAAAACCATGATGATTGTCCCTACCTTAGGAAATTTTGGAGCTTTAGAATTGTTTTGGGAATGGATGCTTAGATAAGTGTGGGGGTGTGCCTTTTATGTTGGTTCTTGGTTATGAATCATAAGTTTATGAATTATGAGTGGTTATTCATCATGGATTCATTATAAAAAATATTATAAAAAAAATAGAAAAAGAAAATACAGCATCAACAACAACAAATATATAAAAAGTTGTAGTTAAATTGGGCATTTTGATGAGAGGATTTAAATTTGAAGTTAGAATGGAAGTTTGGGGTTTGCCTTCATGCTTATTTTGACTTGTTCCCCATTGCTCCTCTATTTTCTTTGGTCCTTTAGCTACTTATCCATATATTCGATACCTTGTCCCTAGCCCCATTACAACCTTTAAAAGTCCTTTTGATCTTTATATGCATGTGTGTTGGGTGGAGATATTAGAGGTTTGCAAAGCCTATGGTAGTGTTTGTTTTCATGAAGTGCTTTAAGTGTAAACACTAGCCTATACACTTGAGAGTTGGAGAGCATATTTTGTGAGATATTATCACCTTTGATTCACCTCTTGGATGATTGACGTCCTTGCATACTTGAGATGATTTTTTTTTATTTCCATGGGTATCTTGATTTTGTCTACTACTTGACATCTCCTAGAATTCATTGAACAATTGGCCATATGTGTTTGTTCTCTTATTTTATTTCTCGTTTTTGTTTTTCCTTTCTTTTTTCTTCTATTCTTTTCTTTTCTTTTCTTTTTGAGTCTGTCTTGTTGGATGTGTTCCTTAAGATTGATTTTGCCCAGGAGTGCAAAAGGTTAAGTGTGGGGGAATTTGATGAATCATAATTTTTGTGCATTTTTTTTATCTTTGTAATATCCTATTAAATATTGTTAGTGCCTAATTGTTTTCTCTTGCCATATTTTATTGTTTTGAGGTTTATTGGGCTATTAATTTGGAACTTCATTTAATTGGATTTATTAGCCTAATTAATTTCATAATCATTTTACATAGAACTTGGAAGCACTTATTGGATTAGGAGCACTACCACATGAACCAACTTCAACATAGTTTTTATTTTATTTCTTAATTTCGTATTTTGCTGTGTGATGGGCTAACTGGGTCAGCCCAACGGTTGGACCCGAATTCAAAATTTTGGAGGGAACCTAGGTCAAATTATTTAGGTCAGCCTCGGGGGACAAAGAAGTGGGAGAATCGCCACTCCCTTTTTGGGCTCCTAGACGAGTTTGGAAAGATACCATTTTTTGTATGCCAGCATTTACTTTTCTGTAGGTTGTTCCCTTAGCTTAGCTGTTTGTTTTTCTTCTTTTTCTTCCATTTTTATTTTCATTTTCTTCTTCCTTGTCTTCCTCCATGGAAGGCTAAACTGTAACATTTTCTAACTCAGTTTAGTGCTCATTGAGGTCTATTTATTTCATTGCATCTTCATGTTTGAATCCTTGTTTTCTCCATGCTTAAGGGTATCTGTTCAACTAGACTAAATTCTTTGCTCATGGTTTTCTTAATCCCATGAAACAGTGGAATGAATGTATGCTAATGCTTCATTTGTATGTGTTCAAAACAATGGTAATGGCGTTTAGTGATTACTAGAAACTGAACCAAGGTTTCAAATGGTAAAAGATAATATTTTGAATCAATGATGTGTGTGTTATAATTGAGTTGGAGACTGTACTGTTTCATTAACTACTATTCACATGTTTGTTTATTTCAATTTGAAATCTCCCCCCCATATTGTGTGTATTCATGTTTTCATTACAAAAACCTCTGACTAGTCCATTGGTACTTGAGAGAGATGACCTAGGAGTCACTCCTTAGTATTACAAATTTCACATTCTATTTGATCGGGTACGACATCAGTCAAAGAGCCTCAAAACTAGTATAAGAGCGGAAAAGGTTGCTAGACCCTCAAAACTAGTACAAGAGCGGAAAAGGCTAATAGACCCTCAAAACTAGTATAATATCGAAAAAGGTTGCTAGTCCTTCAAAACTAGTACAAGATCGAAAAAGGTTGCTAGACCCTCAAAACTAGTAGAAGATCAGAAAAGGTTATTGGACCCTCATGTAGACACTCAATTTCATGAGCTATAAAACAATGAAAAAGGATACATAGGCTCAAAGGGGCTATCAAATGGGATGAATTCAAGGTAGGCTCATTTGGCTAGTGGCTAATAGAAATCAATTGCCTAAATCACTTCAATACATGCATGTGGATCAAGTTGTGTCAAAACGAGTCAAGCCAAGTTCTAGAGTGCAAGCATCATGTCTTCGATCAAGCTCAAAGCCGAAGGGGTCTTCGGTCAAACTCAAAGTCGAAGGGGTCTTCGGTCAAGGTTGAAGCTGAACGGGGGATTTGAACATTTTTCCTTGATGTTTTTCCCAGTGTTGGGATGGTCCTTTATGGGTGTTCGGCCATTTGCTCAACTAAGGAGGGGTAGTCACCCTTCGACAATTACCCTGGCCGAAGGGATGTTTGGTGAAGACTTGTTGCTTGAGGTGCTTCTCTCGGCCACTTGTTAGGCCGAGGATACCTTTCGGCCTAGGATCCGAAGGGGGGTGTTTACTAGTGCACTACCCCCCCAAGCCCTAGGATGGAAGACGAAGGGGTTTGAAAGTATGCGACTTTTGAAGGGTTTTAGGGTTTCCGTACATACCTCGAGAGTCGCACCCCTCGCTGATTGTGACCGTTGCATGCTTGGCTGCCCTAGGGTTTCGTGCCTTGACCTGGTGTCTTTTCATTTCCAAAAGCATTTGTGAGGGGCTTTTGGGTTGCCGGGGATTTTTCTATATATAGGGGGTATATTCATAACTTATCTTGTGCTTCCTTCATAGTAAATACTGTGCCCTGACACCCTCACTGCTTGTAAACCGAGTACTTATTGTAAAAGGTAGGTTCTATAGCTTTCGACCGGTAAGTTAGTTTGATGGCAGCTAAAAGGGTTACTT